TATATATATATATATATATATATATATATATATATATATATATATATTTTACAGAGACAGGTTTTCCCTTCTGTTTCCTAATCTCTTTCCTTGGCCAAATCAATCTATCTAAAAATCACATAATTATTCTTCTCAAAGAAGATATTTAGTCTCCCTAAAGAAATGTAGAGCCTGCTAATCATCAGATAAAAGCTGGATGTCATTCTTGGTGAGCATTGCTGCACTTGGTCCTGTGTATATATAATGCAGCTAAGCATGGCTGCAGTGAGTTCATGAGGTTAATGGCCATGTCATGGCCAGAAGACACAGTTTTTTGTTTCACGACTTCCATCTTCCACTCTTTCTCTCTGTCCTTTTCTGTGATATTAATTTTTTGAGCTCTTGAAGGAGTGCTATAACTTTCCCAGGTGGGGCTGGGTACTCCACAATCACTTATGCTCAGCACTGTGGCCAGTTATGGGTTGCTGTGTTATCCAACTCCTGTTGCTGAAGATTCTTTGATGGAGGCTAGACAAACAACTAATCTATGGATATAATCATGACTAATGGAGGAGTTAGAGTGAAGACTGAAGGAGTTGAAAGGGTTTGTGGCCCCATGAGGAGAGCAACAATACCAACTAACCAGAGCTCCCAGGGTCTAAACCACCAGCCAGGGAGCACTTAGGGAGGGATCCATGGCTCCAGCTATATATGTAAGGGAGGATGGCCCTGTAGGACATAGATGGGAGAGGAGATCCTTGGTCCCATGAAGGCTGGATACTGTGGGGGGGGGGGAATTCGAGGGTGGGGAGGTAGGTAGGGTCACATCCACAGAGAAGCAGGAGGAAGGGCGATGGGATAGGGGGTTCCTGGGAGGGGGGTGGAAATGGGGTAAGGAGATAACATCTGAACTGTAAATAAAATATCCAATAAAAAAATATACAAAAAAAGAATCCATTAAGGTTCTTTATGTTTGTCTTTAGTTTTCAAAAAAAATTACCCAGGAATTCTCTAAACATTAATTTGTATTTTTCTCCCATCTTGGTATAGTCTACTTTTATAAATGGAAGACTTGACACTGAGGAAATTTTCTCTTTCATCTATAGTATCTTTAAAAGTATCCTACCTTTATTTT